CGAAGGCACCAATGCCGGCCCACTAGTAGTTGAATATAGTAGAGATGATTGTCTTTGTGATAATTATCTGGTATGTCACTATATGTTATTATTTATGTACAAGTATGCTATTATATTATGTAATAGTGGTAGGAGGGGTGAAATAGTCCCCGTAACCGGTCGAAAGGACCAAAGGGTTAGGCCAGCACCCAGATATGCTAGGCAATATGTGATTTATGTATATGTGCTAGGGTATTATGTGGTATTGTTAGGGGTAATATAGTCCCCGTAACCGGTTGAAAGAGACCGCAGGGGTAGGCCAGCACCCTATTATGCTAGGCGGTTACCGGTTGAAAGAGACCGAAGGAGTAGGCCAGCACCCGGATATGCTAGGCAGTATGTGTATTGTATGGTATGTGGTATGATGGGGTAACTCACTAAGCTTCGTGCTTACAGTTTTCAGTTTTGGTTTCAGGTACTTCTTCTTCGAAAAGAAAGGAGTCGGCATGATCGCAGCGCATCACACTATGTTTTCTGCACACGAGATCTTTGGGAGTGATACTCTGATGATGTTTTATTATGACATGTTTTGGATTATTGACATTTTGGTTTTGATATGTGATGACACGATGGATGTTTTTATACCAATGGTTTTATAATTACTCAATTAAAAATGAAATTTTTGGTCTTAGATTTTGGGATGTTACAGAGACCATCATGAACACTTCTACCATCGTCACCTAAATCCTCAACCATAACAATATCTTCAGAATATTAATTCAACAACTTAAAATTATTTTTAGAAATGATAAGCACATGAACTGAATTTGAAGGAGGTTGGTGTCTAGATATAATAGGTTGTAATTTTCTATTAATTTATACATGTTAAGAATTTCGTTGACAGAAATAAATAAAACCAAAATACCCTTGGTTGATTAGTCAACGATGTGACTTATATAATCAGTCTTTGCAACATATTTCTTTGACAATATTTGTAAAGATCAAAAAACTACTACAAAAGCAACATTTTCATCATAATCTACTTCTTCCTATACACCTCACATGCAACTCAAAATCATCTTTTCTAGCAGTTGCAGATGATGCTGGTGATATAAAGGTTTGGTTATTTTGTTAATACATTAATTTTTTTCTACTTTACAACAATGATTACAAGTCATTTTTGGTATGATGATCTTATTTTTTTTTCAATCTGCTTTATAGCTAGCATTTATTCCTCATAACACCAAATGACTTTTAGCCCAACGGCATTCGATGTTGCTGTCCCTTTTTGAGGTCGAGGGTTCAAGTCCCGCTGTGGACATAGGTAGAATAATTTAGGAATAGATTAGTATATTTTTCGTTTAAAAAAAAATTATTCCTCTTAACACTTATTATAATCTTGCAGGTTATTGATATTCGCCAAAAGTGCCTTTATAAGACATTAAGAGATGCCCATGAAAGTGTATCCTTAAATTATTTATCTTGCTTAATCATTGACACCCCCCCCCCCCATACACACACAATTTCCTTCCTTGTCATCTTAATTTGCTTTCAAATATGTAGCGATGTGCAGTTTCTTCCTTGGAGACCTAAGGAAGGTGTACTTTTTTATATTGCCTTGAATATGTGAATAATTTTAGGACATATCAATGATAATTTTAGTTTTTGGATGACATTGCTATATTTAGGTACAAATTTTTCAAAGTTGAATGTTGCAATAGGAAGAAATTAAAGTAGAATGCTATAATTTAATGAGGAGTAAATTACCTTTTTGGTACCTGAGTTTGTTCAAAAGTTTTAGTTTTGGTCCCAACTAGTTTCATGTTGCAATTTTGGTCCATATAGGCACCAAAATTGCAAAAAAGAAACTATTGAAAATACTTTTTTTGAACATTCTTGGGGATCAAAATCGTTACACAATAGAAAATAGACACTAAAATTGCAAAATGAAACTATTGGGGACTAAAATTGTAAGTTTTTACAAAGTCAGGACCAAAAATGTAATTTACCCTTTAATAAATTGAGATGATGTATGTTTCTTTTGCAGTAATCACTGGTTTGCTTGATTCAAATCTTATAACATGGGACTTCTCCAAAGGAAGACCATTAAAAGTTATAGACTTGGGTATGATTATGTCAAATTTATAAAAGTTATAGACTTGGGTATGATTATGTCAAATTTATATGTGCAAAAGACGTTAATGTCCTGCTTAGTTTTAAATATATGTTTTCCTCTTCACTTAGGTAAGTCCGATCCAGAGAGCAGTAGTAAGGTCCAGTGCTTCAACCTTGCTTTTATCCATGCAATTGCGGTTCCTGAAGTTGATATGTTGGAAAAACTTGACAAAATTTGTATGGTGGCAAGAGGTGGTAATTACATTTACAATAGAAGCAGTAAACAATTTTTTCTAATTTCTAACAAGAGGACACACATATGTCGTCTCGAAAGGAGCCATGATAGGTCATGAAAGTGATGAGTCGGTTAGGAGAACTGGGAATTTAAGGCGGTGTTGGCTTTGGTGACTTTATGAGACCTAAAAGGGAAATCTCCGGAAAAGTCTCATTATTTTACCCTAATTTACGAAAAAGTCCCAAACTAAAATTTGTTTACGAAAAAGTCCCAATTACCGGTAAAAACGACGATTTGACCCTATTTTCCCGGTTTACCGGTTTCATTACTTACCCGGTTTTAATAAAGTCCCATTATTTTACCATAATTTACGAATAAGTCCCAAATTATGGTAAAATAATGAGACTTTAATGAAAGATATGGTAAAATAATGGGACTTTAATGAAACCGGGTAAGTATTAAAACCGATAAATTGGAAAAAAAAAAAATGGTCAAATCGTCATTTTTTCCGGTAATCGGGACTTTTTCATTAACTAATTTTAGTTTGGGACTTTTTCGTAAATTATGGTGAAATATTAGGACTTTTTCAAAGATTTCCCAATATAATTTTGTGTTTACTGAAGTTTATTAAAATTTTCAATTATAGTTTTATGTCTTTTTTTAATCTGTTTTTCAATTTGTAAATGTAAATGTTTCTTTACCCATTAATGAGTTGATGATGGAAAGAAAGGACAATCCCCAACTAACTCATAGTAGATATTACCTACTATATTCTTTAGATTAGGATAATGAATATTAATATGTCATCTCGATTCCTTCTGACCATGCTCCGCATGGGCTTCCCTTTATAATTGATCGTGCATATAACAAAATGAAAACATACAATTTCCTCTTTTGGATCACTAAAATTAAACTATTTTACTAATATAGAGTTGCAAAAGATATTTTGGCAAGTAATCTTAAATTTTTTGGTCTGCTAATTCAGTTTAGATTATTCCCAATGTTTTAAAAACCGGTTTGAACCGGCTGGTCGAATCGGTTGTACCAGAAACCGGAGAAGGGAGCAGTTCAACTTGAACCGGTTTTATGTCTATTTCTGAATTTGAACGAACCAGCCGGTTTTTAAAAAAACATGGTTGAACCGGTTAGATTAAACCGATTGAACCGGTTTAATTTAATAAAAATACATGCGAATGAATCATTTTGTACAACAAACTTTGATGGTTTTTTCACATCTATTTAGATTTTTCTGAATAAAAACATATGATAAATGTTATGAAGTTTTTTGATTTGTTTGTATTCATCTAAAACTATATTTTGTTTTAGGTATTATACTTTATTTTCTTTTTGATTTTTTGATGTATATGGATTGATATAGAACTTATAGTTATGTCTTTTTTAATATATTTGGATTGATCTAACACTTGTTTGTATGTTTCTTTTTAATGATTGAACTTGTGGGTGTGAAATTCTTGATTTATGTATGTGTGTGTTGGAAAAAAATGAAAACTAAAAAAAAAACTGGTTGACTCGGCAGTCGAACCGGAAACCTGGAACCCGACCCGAACCCGACCACTATATATATATATATATATATATATATATATATATATATATATATATATATATATATATATATATATATATGTTACCTCTAGATGAACGTTGGGGAATAATCAATGTTTTAAAAACCGGCTTTTTAATTGAACCGGTATGGTGGTCGGGTTCGGGTCGGGTTCCAGGTTTCCAGTTCGACTGCCAAGTCAACCAGTTTTTTTTTTAGTTTTCATTTTTTTTTCCAACACACACATACATAAATCAAGATTTTCATACCCACAAGTTCAATCATTAAAAAGAAACATACAAACAAGTGTTAGATCAATCCAAATATATTAAAAACTAGGTGTGAGACCCATGTATTACATAAGTTTATTTAAAAGAAAAACTAAATACAAAATTCTAAACATTTGAGAAGTTTGTATTTATAAGAAAAGTGAGAAAATATTGAATTATAAAAATTAAAGTGTTTTTTTCTCATTAAAATTTAAACAAATAATTTAGATAAATAAATAAAAAAAATTAATAAATCTTTAATTTAGTAATTTTAAAATTAGAAGGAAAGTGCATTAATGAAATTGATATGTATTTATTATTGCATTTAAATAGTATTTGATATTTAATAAAATGAAAAAAATCATAAAATGACATGTAGAATAAAAATTAATTTAAAAATTCACAAAATTACATGTGTCAAAATAAATGAGGATGTGACATGTGGCAAAAAAATCTTTATTTATTAGGAAGGATTGGCAGGTAGAATCGGATCCCAATTTGGGCCAATCCGGTTTCTACTCCGGTTGTGGGCTCAGGATTTGGATCCAGTCTATATCAGGCGGATCGGATTAAACCAGTTTTCGAATCGGATCAGATTTTCGACCTGAATCCGGTTTTTTTTGTGCATCGCTAAAAGCATACCCAATAATAACGACTAGAGTGACACAAAATTAGATAATTTGATAGGCTAGAATATACAATCATAAGTTTAGTGACATAAACTAAGAAAATGATATAGTTAGCTTCCATTCCTTATCCTTAGTATTAACCCTTCATTAAACCAAGAGCAACGTCAAACAAAAGGGTAGTCGAGTCTATTACGTTGTAATATCCATTTTCAACCTTGATGTAATGGAAAAATAAGCTGTGCCCCACATGAAGTCTCACCTTCCTGCATGTCAAATTTAATGTCAAAAACTAATTTAACACAAAAAAAAAAAAATAAAGAAAGATGAATTTATGTGGGAACGAGGGTTTACATTTTCAATTTAGTTTAAGAACAAATTAACCCTAAATATTAAAATCAAGAAAGAAAGGTACCCTGGTAGGCACACTCCACCCATTTCTTGGAGACCAGTGTAAGTCTGGGCGTAGATCCTTACAGAATGCTTCATAAATACCCCCTTCTCCTTCTGGAGGAATTGTCAACTCGATCTACACAACATATAAACATATCAGAAAAATAAAAAATAAAAAAATTTGTTATAAATCCATTACCTCAACTTTTTCATGATTCAGAACTCTCTTAACTCTTACAGACCAATAGCAATCATCTTTATGCCAATCTACCAAATCCCCAACTTTCCATTTCCCATCAATGGTAACACATACTTCTGAAACTGAATTGACAGCTGGCATTTCACTTTTTTGATACATTACAGGATATTGAGGCCTCACCATCAGTTGTTTTTTTATTTCCCTTTCGTATATCTTTACCCACTTAATCTCTGCAAAAGTGCAAATTCATTATATCTTCCTATTAATTTGAAGGAAATGCATTAATTACACTTTTGGTCCCTGTAGTTTGTAATTATTCTAAGCTTCCTTTCAATTTCTAATTTACAGAAATGGTCCCTGTGTAGTAGACAAAATTACAGAAAAGGTCCCTGTGTAGGAAATAATTACATAAATGGTCACTGTAGCTAAATTTACAGAAATAAATCCCTCGTTTAAACTAAAATTGGAATCTTATAAATGGAAACATACTTTCATTGGTTGTTTACTATAGCATCCTATAATCTACCTGATTATAGCAATGTCATCATCATAGTAAACAATTTTTACTGCTATAAACAGGTAAATTTTCTAAAGTATAATGTTCTAATAAGAAAAAAAATTAAAGTGCAATGCTATAATTAGGTAGATTATTCAAAGTCTAATCGATACCTAATTACCTATAGAAGATAGAGCCCTAATCTCTGAATGCCTGTAGAATTGAACCTAAAATTACAGGCAATGGGCTATACAACCAAAAATTCTACAAATATGCACATTATATTTAAGTTCAACAAGTATGAAAGCAGAAAAAGAATAAGAGTAATTACATTTTTGGTCCTTATGTATAGCTGGATTTTTCAATTTTTATCCCAAAAATTACGTTAGTAAACTCGCCTTCACCTGGAAAATCACAGTACTCCAGCATAATCATTTCCGTTTCCAAGACTATGTCCAGGATCTGATGGAAATTATTTAGACAAGGAAAAAGGAATTTTAGAATACTCATTTCTATTTATTTCAATGTACATAATGAGGGTATTTTGGTCTTTTTTTTTTTTTTTTTTTTAAAAAAAAAATAAAAGGAAGAAAGGAATCGAATGAAAGAACTACCTTGCATCTGAACCAAGCACAACGGTATCCTTTCTCAAATGTTCTAAATTCAGCCAATTGACCAACTTTTAAGTTCTGAACACCAAGATTCTCCATTGTGCTGCATCATTCAGAAGTCAATATTTCAAGAAATTTGTTTAATAAGGATGGAAACAGTAAGAAAGTAAGATTTTGTGCTGCGAAAATGGGGAGGAGAAGAAGACCTGAGATGATGAGTAGGAGGGAGTCGAGCAATGGGGCAGCCAGTGACTGGTGTCTTGTGCTGCGAGGGACTGCAACTGTGAAGCAAAAGATGGTGAAAAGAAGCTAGAACATTCGCGTACAATTTTTTTTTGGAAAATTAAGGGTGTGTTTGGGTTAGCCTTTTATCACAAAAGTGATTTTAGGAAAAAGGGCTTATTAGCTTATAGGTTTTTGGAAAAGCTTTTTTGGAAAAGCTGTTTTTAAAAAGTGTTTGGGTTAATTTTGTGGTAGGAAAAGCTGAAAAGCTAACCGTTAACAAACCAAGGCAATTCATTTATTCACACATATATCCAATTTCACAGTTAACACAACTAACAGGAAAGAAAGTAACAGTTAACATCAAACCAAGACAATTCATCAATTTCACTGTTAACATAACAGTTTCACAGTTATACAACTAACAGGTTCATCAATTTCACTTGTTAACATCAATAATCCCTCTCCAGTTTCATCAATTTCTAGTTTTATAGTTATAATTTCTCAGTTTCATTGATTCCAAAAAAAAAATGGTGGATGGAATACCCACTGTGGTACCGAACCCAAAAAACACAACAGTGAATTCATGAACACACAAAAAAATCGATGAACATACATAAAATCTGAGATGAAATAAACAGGAAAAAAAATCAGAGAAGGAATTGATGAACAGAAAAAAAAAATCGAAGATGCATGTCCAGATGCATCAAATCTGAGATTCAATGTAAACTGAAAAAAAAAATCAGAGATGGAATGGCAGCTTTTACCAGATCGGAAGTAGAGGTCGAAGTCCAAGCCGGCGGCGCTGAGGATGGAGCAGAAATCGGAGGTACCGTTGAGAACGAGAGATATTGGGGAGAGATTGGGGATGAACGAATGTGAATGTTAATTGTTTTATAATCCACATGTCAATTTTCTCTCCTTTATAATCCACATGTCAATTTTCTACGCCATATTAGTGCCACGTGTCCTTCTGATATCTAATAGACGTCTGCGTCACTTTTTCCCGCCCATTTTCTTTAGCAGGGCAATACCGGATTTTCCGTAATTGTTGGTAGACAGTTATGTATTGATCTTGGTCATTTAATTAATTCCCATTTAAATCTCCTAAAATCTTTCATGTACAGTTAACAAATTCAGATTAAATTTGAATACTTTCCATGATAATCTCTACCCTTATTGTATCCACGATGCTTCGATGTACCTTTCTTCTCCGGCACCCCTGTTGAAAACCTCCATGAAGCATTCAATGTACCTTTTTTCTCCTCCATCCATACATCCACCAGCCCTTTCCCACACACATACACACTAACTACAACCACCACTCTCTACCAACCCTAACCCTAGAATCGACCATCATTTTTCCCCTGCCACCACTCAATAATAACACTTAACCCTTGAAATGAAAATTGTTGCTTCCTCCACAGCCACCTCCTACTTAGATTGAAACAGATTGTCTATGTGTTGCCATTAACTCGAAGATCCTCAGCACTTTTGCTCAGCCTCTTCCATCTCATTAATTGATTGGCACATTGTAATTTCATGACATTATTCTGTCAAGTTTTGTACACCTCACTTTTTCTAAACCTAACATGATATAAATTTTATGGTTTTATTAGTTTATACACCATGTAATTTTATGGTTTTGTACACACCATGTAACTCAAATTACAAAATATTACATATTGTTTATTAGTTATATGTTGAAGATGGTGATGAGGGTGAGCCAAGATCAAAAGTTATACTAATTGTACACAATAGCTCATGTGGTGGAATCATTGGGAAGTGTGGATCCATGACTAGGTAAGAAATGATGAGGAAAGAATGTTTTCGACATCAAATATGAGCTATTACTTTTGACATATAAAAGTTGTGACAACTGAAAACTTCCATTTTTGATATCTTATTATAGGGACTTCATTGAAGATTCTAAAGCTAACATTAAGATCTCACATCAGGATCACAACTATCTTTGATTAAATGATAGGATGGTAATAGTAATTGGCACCCTAAAACAACTGGTGCAAGCTATTAATCTGATTTTATAAAAATTATATGAAGATCTCTACTATTTATACAGTCAAAGCAACACAAACCGAAGGTTATCGAAGGACATAGAAACGTTCGAATAATCCAACAAATATGACAGGTTGAAGTCAAAATGGAGGTGGGTTTCGATGATATTACTGTGATCACCATCTTCGATCCACCAATCAATGCGTTTACCTTCTCAAGTAAGATTTAATCCAATTGCGTTTCTTTCGTTTTTCTTTTACCCCCATTAAAACCACAAGCAAAACGGGCAGTTCTTTGTTATTGTCGCATATCAGTTAATTGGTTATATTAGTAAAATCTTCACACTTTAATCTTATTTTTTTTTCTTCGTGGGTTTGGTCTTACTTATTGCATCTATGTTCTTAACCAACTCCCATATAAAATATTGATTATTTATTCCTTATATTCTTTGACATCTTTGGTAAGTTGGGTTTCGTTAGTTTAGTCTTTCTTGCTTATTGTGATGTCAATGATTTAGTGTTTGTTGTGTTTATGGTTATCCAATGTACTTATTGCTTGATTGAAGGAGTAAATTGAACAGTCTATCAGCAGAGATTAATACCAAAGGGAATGGGGAGGGGTTCACATGAAAAAGGATTTTCTTACGATAAGTTAACCTTGGAATCGTGGCGGGATCAAGTGTAACTTATATTTATGTTCATAGTCATTTTTATGAACCTATAAATAAGATTTATCATTAATTCCAAGTCATTTATACTAATTGATCGACTTACAGGGATGATGTCTAGGCTAGATGTAGTGAGGTGTTTAAAGTGGGATTTCCAAACAGTATAATACCAGACGGACTCTACCTTTGTTATGATCCTACCTGGTTGTTCCGTACTTGATAGATCTTGATGTAGACATCGGAATTAATAAGGAATCTAGATTATCATTAGTCTCCAGGAATATAAGATTAAGACTTAGTAATATGAACCTAGGTCACGTCAAGGAGACGTCAAAGTGCTAAGGCGAAGCACTGATCAAATTCTGAGGCATCCACTTTTAACAAGTGAGTGCATAGTTACTTTCAGCTTACACATAGATATCAAGTATTTATTTGCTTAGATGACCTATGTGTTTATTATCCGTGTTCCTGATAATTGTGCTAAATGAGATAATGATATTACTCGCAATAAATTATATATGTATTTATTATACTTATACCATATTGGGTAAAAAGGATAGAGAGAGAAAAGAGAAAATATAATGGTGAAAGACCAAGCTAGAGATAGAATAGTGGTGACAGACCATACAATAGATAATATAATGGTAAGAGACCATGTCAGAGATAGAATAGTGGTGAGAGACCATACCAAAGATAATATAATGGTGAGAGACCATGCCTAACTGAGAGCAGTCATCTAGCAGAGTATTGATGACAACCACAGACTCTTCTAGACAATCCATTGGAACACTAGCAGATTTGCAATCTATATGTGTTAATGAATCATACTATCCGGGAGTATGGAGTGTATGTTCATTCGAGTACTCTATCCCCCCTCAAAGTTTCCTTACTGACTCGTATTGCTAAGGAATCCCCGAGGCAATGTTGTCTACTCGTTGTTAGAGAGATCCTCTAGGAAAGGTCCCTTGACTTCCCAAAGTTTATAATAATCAATGAAAAACATTTCTTCAGGGATACTTTTTATGGGACAAATATCGATTTTATAAGTAAACTCTAGTTTAAAATAAACATAAATAAAAAGGTCTTCTCAGACCATGAAAATTGGGAATGTCACAACATATATCTCGAGTACGCTACATTTGTCAAGTCATACTCTGGCCGATGAAAAACGAAAATTGTTCAAGTTAGAACATGAATCTACAAGGAAGGGTGTTGAACAGGTGTTTAGAGTCCTCAAACAAAAATGACACATAATCAAATATCCAACACGAGCATGAGATAAGGAAAAATTGACGAAGGTGTTGACTGATTGTGTTATTCTACATAACATGATAATATAATAATATGGTAAGTCTATTTGTACGTATCGTTCGAACGATATACTTAATCCACGTGCACTAATAAAAGTCAGCAACCCAACATACTTCACAGGACTTTTGGTACAAAACAGTGAAACACATCACAATCCAAATCATGATTTGACTGAGCACATATGGAAAAGACAATTTGAACATCACAATGACAATAACAGGGACAGGGATGAGGACACGGACAATGAGAACGAGGACGATGACGACGAGGCCGCCGACGATGACGACGAGGCCGCCGACGATGACGAGTAATATTTTCTATTTGCTAGTTTAACTTCTAATGTTTTTTCCATTAGTAATGTAAGCTTTAATTTTCATGTATTTCCAATTTCTAATGTAGATTTAAATTTCTAAGTTTTAATATTTCATATATTTTTGTATTAGTAAAATGTTTATTGAAGTTTAAAATTATGTTATTTTGTTTAATTTAATGTACTTTTTTTATTAGTAATTTTTTTAATAATTGTTTTTTATTTAATTTAATATAAAAATTAAAAAATATATAAATATAAATAATGTGAAATGGTAACCATTTTGCAATGGGTAGTACCGTGGTAATGAACATATGATGGAGATGAGACGATTCAGATGCAACAATATTTTTCTAGTGGATATATAGTAACCATATCCCTTTATTCTACTTTATCCCTATTTATTTTATTTATTTTATTATTCTTTTATGTTATATTAAAAGCTATTATTTTTTCGAGTAAATTACATGAATGGCACCTATGGTTCGGGGTAATATGCATGTGTGGTCCCTAACTTATTTTTTTAACTCGAAAGGTCCGTACTGTTTGTTTTTGTTGCACGCTTGGTCTTGTCTTACCTAAAAAGACTATTTTGCCTTTTATTTTTTAATTTATTTAAATAAACACACCCCCAACCTCACTTCCACCTGACCTCACCTTACCTTACCTACCCTATCTTATTTAAATAAATTAAAAAATCAAGGGTAAAATAGTCATTTTAGGTAAGATAGGGATCAAGCGCGCAACAAAAACAAACCGTAAGGACCTTCCGAGTTAAAAAAATAAGTTAGGGACCAAACGTGCAAATTACCCCAAACCATAAGGGCCATTCGTGTAATGTACTCATTAAAAAACCCACTGACTGACACCATTCACCACCTAACCAACACCACCCACCACCACTACCTACCTCCCATCACCACCACCCGCTACCACCACCCATCACTAACCAACACCACCAACCACCACCCATCACTACCTACCACCCACCACCCGCCACCATCACCACCCACCACAACCACCACCCACCACCACCACCAATCACCACCAGCCACCACCATCACCACCCACCATCATAAGCACCCAACCACCACCCATCACCACTACCCGCCACCACCACCCACAACCACTGCGTACCACCCATCACTACCCACCACCACCAACTATCACCACTACGTACCACCCACCCACCACAACCACCACCATCACCACCCACTACCATCACCACCCAACCACCACCACCCACCTCCACCACCTATCACCACCACCACCCACAACCACTACCTACCACCCATCACCACCACCTGCCACCACCATCACACATCACTACCCACCACCACCAACCACTACCCACCACCCATCACTACCCACCACCCACCACCCCCACCAACACCACCACCCACCACAACCACCACCCACCACCACCACAAACCACCACCATCACCACCCGTCACCACCACACACCTGCACCACCACCACCACCCACCACCACCAACCATCACTACCCAGCACCACCAACCACCACCCACCACCCACCACCAACCAACACCCACCACCAACACCACCACCACCCCACCCACTACCCACCACCACCACCACCAACACCAACCACCACCCGTCACCACCATCACCACCCAACCACCACCGCCCGCCACCACCACCTACATCCACCACCCATCACAACCACCACCCACATCCACCCACCACCCATCACTATCACCACCACCCGTGATTATGTGTATATAATCACATGTGATTATTTGTATTTAATCACTTATGATTTATATGGACAATATTCTTTTTTGTCCATATAAATCCTGTGATTAGATACATATAATCACATGTAATTAGATATATTTAATCAAATGTGATTAGATATATTTAATTACATATGTCATTATTGCGTTCTCGATTCAATAATTATTTTTTGTCAACTTTAATCATATGTGATTAGATCATATAATCACATGTGATCATATATATCCAATCACATGATTTTTATGAACAATATTCATTTCTGAGTTTTCGTTTCAATAATTTGTCTCATATATTTAATCACATGTGATTATAAGTATTTAATCACATCTGATTATAAGTATTTAATCACATATGATTAATGTGGACATACATTTGTTTTAATGTTATTGATTCAATAGTTGTTCTCGTGTATATAATTACATTTGATTATATATATTTCATCACATATGATTTATTGAATCAAGAACGTGAAAACATATCTTTTTCATATAAATCGTATGTGATTAAATACACGAGACCAACTATTGAATTAAAAACGCAAAAATGAATATTGTCCACAAAAATCATATGTGATTAAATACATATAATCACATGTGATTATATGTACCTAATCACATATGATTTATGTGGACAAGATTCATTATTTATTTCTCAATTCAATACTTGTACTCATATACTTAATCACATGTGATTATATGTATCAAATCACATATGATTTTTTTATTGATAATATTCGTTTTCGCATTTTTGATTCAATATTTTTTCTTATGTATTTAATCATATGTGATTGTATGTATTGATCACATATGATTAATGTGGAAAAAGAAAAATTATTTGATCAAAAACACGAAAATGAATCTTGTGTACAGAAATCATATGTGACTAAATGTACAAGAACAACTATTGAACGAGAGTGAAAATGAATATTTTCCACATAAATTCTACGTGATTAGATACATGTAATCACATGTGATTATATGCATTTAATCACATATGATATATTTGGACAATATTTATCTTTGTGTTCTCGATTCAATAGTTGTTCTCATGTATATAATCATATGTGATTATACGTATCTAATCACATATGATTTATATAGACATCATTATTTTTTGTCCATATAAATCATATGTGATTAGATACATATAATCACATATGATTAAATATATTTAATCACATATGATTATAGTGGACAAAGAACAATTACTGAATCGAGATGTGACAATGAATCTCATTCACATAAATAACATATGATTGGATACATATAATCACATGCGATTATATTTATTTAATCAGATATGATTTATGTAGACAATATATATTTTTGTTGTTTTGATTGAACAATTGCTTATATATATATATATATATATATATATATATATATATATATAGATAGATATATACACACACACACATATATAATCACATATGATTTATGTGGACAATATTTATTTTCAAATTTCCGAATTAAATAGTTAGTCCCACGTATTTAATCACGTGTGATTTATATGGACAAAATTCATTTTTTCTTACTCGATTCAAAAGTTATGCTCGTTTACTTAATCATATTTGACTATATATATCCAATCACAAATTATTTATAGGAACAAGATTTATTTTCTTATTTTCCTTAAATATTTTTTTTTTGCATTCTCGATTTAATAATGTTTCTCATGTATATAATCACATGTGATTATATGAAGTTAATCATATATGATTAATATGGATACTATTCGTTTTCATATTTTTAATTCATTAATTTTTCTTATGTAATTTAGAATTTTTTTATCAACAAGTAAATTTAATACAATTATATACTAAAAAAAACTATTTTTTCTATCTTCTACCCATTCAATCCAACTAAATATAATTTTCACACTTAATAATAATCCAATATAAGCCAAAATTTTATTTAATTATATATTGTATAATAAGTTTTTATTATTTTAAAATTATAAAAAAATCAACATTTTTAATATAAAAATGAATAAAATTGATTTTTATAATCATTGTTAAATTTAATTTATGATTACCAAAAAAAAATAGTTACAAGATAATGGTTAACTAAAAGGAAAAAATTTATAAAATTTGATATGTTTTGTTTCTTTTTTATTAAAATCAAAAGTCAAACTCACGAAGTAATTAAATGGGTTATTAAATTCAATTTTCCTTATCTCTTTAACCTATTTCTTTTTGAACGGTAAAGGTTGCTTCACGAGTCACGATGCCTAAATCCAACGTTTCATCTCTTTAATCTGTCAAATTATCTTTCCACATATATGTGTATTTTTAATTCCCGTTGAATCATAGACGAAGGAACCGAGTTTGAAAAAAAACTCGAATATCTTTCGCTTGTATGTAAGGTTTTTATTGAGCTTGAATCTCACTTTGGGTTTGGGGATAAAGCTTTTTGGCGCAATTTCTTACTGAGATAGGCAGGAAGTACACAACGGTGGATGAATTCGAGGCTAAATTGAAGGAAAATGGGGTTCAGATGCTTGATTACTTTATTCACAATTTGTTGAAGATCATTCACGCGATTTTGGCTTCAACGTGAAGTGTAAATCTGATAAAGATGATAGTAAGTAGGATGATGATGATGGACCGAATTCTACATAGTTAGAGGAAGAGAAAAACATACACAGACAAAGAGATATATATATATATATATATATATATATATATATATATATAATATATATATAGAGAGAGAGAGAGAGAGAGAGAGAGAGAGAGAGTGTGTGTGAGTGAGTGAGTGAGTGATACCATGAGAAATGAGCTGACTGTTGCTGAAAATCACGAGCCTAGCAGATAACGAAGGCGGCGGCGACGGTCGGTGAAACGGTGATAACTCCATGATTTCTGATAAGAGCTTGTCGTCGGCAGATTCAATGGCGGCGGTCGGTGAAACCAGATCTTGTCGCCTTCTTCATATCCAGTGAACGTGATCGGAAAACGGTGGCCTTCTGCTTCAGATCCCGTAGAAACCTGGTGGACAGTGAAATAATATTGTGAAATATGATATCCAGTGGAGATATCTCACCGGAGACGATTGATTAACATGTAAATGTGTTTTATACGACTAGAAAAACGGCCTTTTACGACGCGCAATGTGTGTCGTAAAACGCTCAGACGACGCGCAAATACGTGTCAAGAAAGACCCTGTCATAACGAGAGACGACGCGCATTTTATGACACGCATTTACGACGCGCAATGCGTATCAAGGAAGCCCTGTCATAAAGGAAGACGTCACGCATTTGTGTGTCGTAACCTTACGACGCACGTTTAGGACACGCATTGCGTATCATTAAATCCCCTGTCATAAATGAAGATGACATGCATTTGCGTGTCATAAACTTCAGCAACCATTTACGATATACATTTACAACGAGTCTTTACGATACTCATTTACGCATAATACAAAAATATGGAAACAAATATAACCAAAACAATCAATTTCATCCATAACATCATGTCAAAAAATTGTAATACATTGGTATTAAGGGGAGCCGATTGTACATTGTTATTAAGAGTTTTTCCCTAACCATATAACCTAATACTACATTGCTATTAAGGAACACCTTCTTGTTTCTACTTCTTATTGTTATGATTCTGTTTCCACATGATACCTGTTTTCATCAACACATTAGTATTCAGAAATGCTTCAAGCATCATCAATGTATGTTATAAAATATTAAAATTTAATACACATGTAGTAAAATACCTTTTGCCAAGAATCCAGGCTTCAATACAGCCCATACTTGTATAAAATATTAAAACAAGAAGCATGTAAGAGTTTTCAGCTTTTTAGACACATCCAATCCACTGTAAAATGTAAATACACCAAAAATAAATAAATAAATAAATATAAAAACATAGTTCAGGATTCATGATGAAATTTTTTTTCATCTATTATCTAAGAGAAAGAGTAACAGGAGTTAAAAGGGAATACCTTCAGAGTGTTAATGTTGCTACAATAAATTTTGGGGAGTACCTTAATTAATGATGCATTAATTAATTAGACATTGATTTTAAATAGAAAACATGCATGTAAATGATAAGGCAATACCTGAACTGTGTAAATAATAATACTCAAATGCTAAAATCCCATCACACGATTCCTGCAACAAATCAAATCACACTCTGTAACGGAATGAATTATTACATATAAAATATATTGAATTAAAGCTAATAAGAAACATGAAAAAAGAGTGTCTTACATTCTTGAAATCAACGGGTCTCTTGTGCACAAACACAATTTAAGCATACTCAGTACTAAATTCAAGATTAAACAACAAATTCCTTCGAGCCTCTGTTCCCATATGGATTTTAAACTCCTTCACAAATGAATCCACTTTAGCATTACTTTCATCATCCATCTCTCTAACACACCTTCTTCTAATCTTTTCAACATCTTCTTTGTTGGTTCAAATCCGGCAACCACCTATTGAAAAATTCTACAACAAACCATTTATCTAATTGGGAGTACAACTACAACAGAAGGATCCAAAAGGGTCTATTGTTCTGTTTGGTTGAAGGAAATCAAATAACCAAGGTAATGGGACATTCCATGAGATCATGATCATGTTTGGTAGGAATAAAATGATATTATTTTTCATACCACTATCCAGATAAAATGTAAATACAAGTCTATTCTATTATTATTATTTGATATTTGATTTGATTATACTTGGAGAATTTAGAAATTAAACATCATAAATGCTCATTACAATCCAAATAAGTTTATAATAATAAAAATATTTTTGGAAATAAAATCATGAGTTAACTATGATCATAAAATGCTTAAAAACAATTTGCCATCTAAAATTCTATAAATAAAAATGAATTAAAAATTAGTTCCAACAGAAAGAAAGTGCCAAACAGCACCAAAACCCTAAACGCATTATCCTCTGAATAAGGGAAATATTTTGACTTTTATAGTGTTCTTTTTTCCTAAATAATAAATAGATGAAAGAAAGAAACCTTAAGAGCATAGCCAACCATCTTAGAGAAAGCAGTGATATCTAAAGAAATTCACCATACCTGAACATTTTTTTATTTTAGAAGACCACGACCATCTTCAGAGGAGTATAGTACAACAACTTTCAAACTAGGGACTGATCCATACCATGCACCATAACACTGCAGCCATCACATCAGATAAACAAACCAATTTATTACTTTTAACAAATTTCTCAACTACCTAAGTTATATGGTATTTAAGTTTTTTTGAACGTTTGACATACATTTATTTAGAGTATAAATTTGGAAGGACATGAATTCCTTTTTTTGGTATTTATGAGTTTAATGATAAAATGTAGACATGGGAATGTTGAGCACCAACACCAGCAACAAGGCCATTTGGTCCCCTAAAAACAATGGGCACGTTAATCTGCCCCGCAGATATGTAATTTGACTTTGCTGCAGATTTTAGTATTTTACCAAGTAAACAATACCTTAAATGATAAAAACAAAATCAAATTACCAGTGATTTTCCCGGAAAATGAAAACCGTAAAATATCTTTTTCGAGTAATCATGTGAAAATGTTAAGACATTTTTTTGAATTTTGCCCTACGTCTGTCTAATTAGAATGTTTATTAGTTGAGTCATGTTTTACATTATTATATACATATTTTTAAAACCTTTAAAAACCTATTGAAAATCTTACAAATTATATTGCCATTGTTTTTTAAAAAAAAATTATAAACTACTTTATGAGTGTCTCATCATCTATTAATCTTTGTATATATATATTTTTATAGCTGGCTATTTTTGCTTTTTTTTCATAACTTAAGTTCTAAATGCTCATTTTACACTAACATTATAATTTCCTTTCTAAAGCATTTGTCATTTCTAACAGTATTCATCAATATTACGAATATAATTAAACGTGTCAATGTCTTACTACATTAAGTTAGGTTTTTTGGCTTAATTCATTTTGTCACAATTAAATAAATAAAAAAATAGTCCAAAAAGTATCTAAACATAAAATACAGCTCAAATCCAAAAAGTTAGACATCTTTCACTATTCTCTCGCAAAACGCGACAACCATATCCTCATTTTAAGATCATCAACCAATACAAAAACGTTTTCATGAATACAAAACTTGAAAAAAAAACAAAAACGATAAAATATTGTCAAAATCATTAAATAATACAAATAACATTTTTTTTTTATTTTCTAGTAAAAAAAATGTTAGGAAGTAAGATTTACTTAGTTTACCTTTCAAGAAGCATGACAAGTTCACAATATGGGGTATGTGGGAAAAGGTCAACAACCATGGCTTTGACCGGCTTAAAGGGTTCAGAAGTAGGCATAGATTTATGTCGAGCCAAACCAGCACTACTCATATTTCTCCATCCTCTGTTGTTCTTATTCCCTTTCTCATTACTCTCATCAGAAGGAGTACAAAGCTCAATTGCATTTGCCATTAAACTTTTAGGATTAAACGAAATATAACTGCCAAAAAAAAGGGTAGATATCGTCACAAATAGGAAAAAGAAAGGTCGAGAATGTAAAATTAGTTTTAGTTTACTTACACAAGCCTCCTTAAACGTGAATGAGTCCTAAGAGCCTTGATCACAGTGGGATGAAGTCCAACACGTGGAGGATCCACAACGGCCACCACATTTTCAAAATATTCCATCTTTTTCTCATTATTATTATTGTTATTGTTGTTTTCATTAATAGAATTATTCTCTTCTTCCTTTATAACTTCTTTGATATCCTTTTTCTCATCTCCTTTGATACCAACATCGGAATCATTGATTCCGGAGTCTAGTTTTTTTGTTAAGTACTCTTTTAATAGCGACCCCGTAACACCTTCTGCCTGTAAATGACATAAAAAAAACAAATGATGTCTATAAAATTTGAGAAATTCGGTTTTTTTATTTCGAATTATTCTCACTTTTGAACAGACAAATCTGCAGTTTTTTATTCCATTGATTTCAGCATTCCGATTTGCATAAGCTACTGTAGAAGCATTCATTTCAATTCCAACCACCTAAAAACAAAAAACTATAAGCCTATGAAATATATTAAAATCTTAAATTAAAGATTTTTAATGGAAAAAATCGTAATTTACCATTCCAACACGGTTGGCTAGAGTAAGCCCAATGGTTCCAGTCCCACAACATACATCAAAAAATATGATTTACAGAAGAAATTAGGGGACCAATTTATTATAATATGTTTTCTCATTAGGCTTCACTCCTGAGCTTACTAAGTGCTCAAACACTCTAACTGCTTCATCTCTCTAAAAACAAAAAATATGATTTATAGAAGAAATTAGGTTATATGAGTTGAAAAGACTATTAAAACCTTATGGAGCTTTCCAAATGCAGTTAAGAGAGCATTGTATGAATGGATGTCGGGAGTCAACTCAAAAGTTTAATGCAGCAACATATTTGTATGGAGGATCTGCTCTACTCAAGTTCTCCAATTGATAATAAACCTGAAAAATAATTAGCAGATAATGTTGATTGTTAAATTCCAATACCAATAAAGTTTCTCAAATTAAGTAGTGTTTCCATTAAGTCAGTAGAAAGAAACAAATTGTATCCAAAGTTGCCAATATAATCAGATCCTCTATCACATTCACACCTACAGGAATCAAACAACTATTTTCTTGAACTTTATTTTATTTGTAATTATATAACAAACATCAACTAACATTCCAAGTCACACACTTAAACAATTTAGCCACTTTCATCCATATATACACTGTTTTATAGGGATGTGACAGATTTATGAGCAATGTCAGAAACATATATAAGAATTTCAGCACCTATCAATATTATAATCAGCCACTCCAAAAAATTGGATTTCCTGTTTCGCATCCTTCCATGCAATATCATATCTACACAATAGTTAACCCAATACAATTTTCTATTAATCAGTTCATTAATGACATATGCAAGATTGAAAGTTTACCTCTCAAAAAGTCCGAGCTTAAGTATGACATCACCAAAATCTGCAGCAGCATGTGATGATGTGTTGTCATTAGGATTAGGAAGTGAGACATCGATATAAGCTGGCTTTCTGGATCCAATTAGTAATGGCCAAAGACTTCATATATCCCTGGATATTGTCAGCAGATATTGTCAGCAGGAAAAAGGTCATGTGTGATACAATGTCAAAAACTTCTTCGAATTCTATCAAAAACAAAAAACCTTTGATCAACTCAGCCATGTTTATCACCAAACCTACAAGATAGAAATTTGTAGTTTGAGTATTTTGCTTTTGATTCATAACAAAGCTACTATGGAGGTTCTTTATAATTTATAATCGGTTCATAATTTTTACAATTATTCAGAGTGTCCTTATACAAAATCACATATGAATCAAATGTATGTTGTCAATCCAACATAACTATCCATTAGTCTTCTTAGTTCAATGAAGCTGCACAAATTTTAAAGGGGCTTTACATGCATTGAAAACTCAGGGGTGTTTTTGGTATTTCAACATCATGTATGTATTGTGACCTGGCGGTGTTCATGTTGTCATGACTGAATAGTTTATTGAGCATGTTAAATTTCTTTAAGAATCCCTCTTTCCTGTAAGAAACCAATAAAGGATTAAAGAAAAAGATCAATCATGAAGTAAAGTAAAACTTAAATTGAAAAAAAAAATTCTTACATATATCCAAAGTTATAAGCTATTAGAAACTAAAAGCTACTATAATATTTGAAAATTGAATTTGTTTGAAAAAAAGAAAGTAAGTAGAGAATCTAACCTTATTCTTTTTAAGTGTCTCCTTGCCAAGAATCTTATTGCCCAATGGTTGGTTGTTATGTTTGAGTGCATAAAAATTATAAGCATTGTGATGAGAACCAAAAGAGAAACTAAAAAAAAGGCAGAAATTACAAGTTTTTTAGTACCTGTTATTATCTTGAGGATTCAAAGCATTTTCTAAAGAAACAGAAGTGGATGTGTTAGTATTTGATTCTAATTTCATCAACAGCTTGAATTGTACAAGAATCAAGGGAATCTTGAGATATAATCACTGATTCTGATGTTCTGTTGTGTTTTTCCACTATGGATTCTATCGGCTCTTCAACCAGTTTGTGGGTCCCATTTTGGTAGCGTGTCTCATCTGTGCTTGTCTTAAATGGGAATTTTGCTGCAAGAGACATGAACGCCTAACTGCAGACATTGAAAATCAACAAAATTATTAATTTATTTATTACTTTTAAGGTAATTAGAGTCAGGATATGAATCTGAATACCATACACATAACAACACCCACACATATAACAACCACAACCACCTAATGGTTGTGGGTGGTGGTAGAGAAACACGTCGGTAGCCTAGGCTGCCGGCCACGACGGTAGATGGTGCTTGACATAAAAAACAAAAAAGAAGGAGAAGAAAAGAACAGAAATTGATACCTTAGGCTGGAGCAAAGTTTATCTTGAGGTCCTCTTCCGTCTTCTCCCTCTACGGTGACTCAAAAATCCGACAGCCCTACACAAAAACTCGAGCAACTCCCTCTCTAGCCACTAAGACGAACGAACGAAAGATTAGGGTTATTTTGGGATGCTAAGGGTTTGGTTAGAGGGGATGTAAGAACTAAATATATGATAATCGGCCCTAACATAAGAGCCCAAGGGGATCTCTACATCAAAATGAGGCTTTCATCTCAAGGGTACCTGACGTCAACATGTGGCTGCCAATTCGGGTTTTTTTTTTCATGTAGAGGATGTAGTTGGAGGTTTTCTTGCAGATTAAAGCCTGAGTTGTGTTGGACGAACGAAGAAGCGTTGGAGGTGCTGGATGTAGGTGAAGATGAAGGCCCTAGGGTTTCTTTCTAGCTAATTCAAAGATTAGCGTCGATGGAAGAAGGTGGAGGCATCAGTAGAGGGAACAAGGAGACTGAGAGAGGAGAAAATAGGCGGGGGGTTTAATTTTTGGTATGCCATTTTCCCCTGACTATTAAAACGCGCGTTTCATTAAAAAAAATTATAAAACGACATTTTTAGATGACGCGCATTTTATAATAAGCGCCCTCCGTGTTTTTTTTTTGTGAGACCCTAATTTTAGGGCACGCAAAAATGCGCGTCCTAAATTCTTCAAATTTCTAAAGATCTGACATTATTTTTAGGGCACTCCCTTTTACGTATCATTAATCAGTGCGTGTCGTAAAAAGCGCGTCATTAAAGGTCTGTTTTCTAGTAGTGTTGGTTGTGTGAATTCAAAGCTTAGATTCATATATTCAAGTCCTCTGACCTCCTTCCATTCTCACCTGCTAAAATATCATAAATGAAGACAAAAACCTTTTGACAAACAAGTTTGGTGATGAACTCAATGATTTCTACTTCAGATCCAATGAGATCCATCGAAACGAGATATGATGGCCACTAGACGAGATCAGGTGACGGTTCGGGAATAGTGGAGGTAGATGAAGGAAAGGTGGTGAACAAGCAGATCTGGAGTGTAGATGCGATAGTCTGGTGGTTCCGGCAGCATTACAGTGGTTCCGACGGTTCTCGTAGTGGTCTGATGGTCCCGATCTAGAGAGTGTGTGTGGGGGGGGGGGGGGGGGGGAGAGAGAATGTATGTGTGTATGAGTGTATGAGGGACATCAATTTTTTAAAAAAAAAATGTCGATATAATTTCTATTAGTTAAAAATTGTGGTCTAAATTGTTCTCAAATGTTCTCGATTGAACACACGTCTATATATATATATATATATATATATATATATATATATATATATATATATATATATATATATATATATATATATATATATATATATATACTAGCCGTATACCCGCGCAAAGCAGCGGCGACGATTAGTTTCCTTTGGCGATTAGTTTTACTCTGAAACATGTTATATTTTACGAAACACACAACATATACATATTGTTATCCGTCGGTTTTGCGACAATGAATTGTTTCCGTTCGCCAAATAGTTTCCTTTGGCGATTATATTTGTTTCAACGATTAGTTTTCATACAAAAACATGTCATCTTCCAAAGAACATGCAAGGTATCGGAATTTGATTGCATTCCACCAAGGTGAGACACATTGTTCTCATATGTTGCTGGTTATCCCGAATTACAACCACATTATAAAGAAGTTAGGGTTTTTGAGAACGTACAATAATTAGTTTAGTTTCCTTTCTTTGAATAATTTCCTTATGACATTTCGTTTTTTTAAAAGCATGTCATATTTTTCCCTAGAATTGTTCCTTGACAGCAATTTTTATTTTGAAAAAGCCAACTATTATTTTGCATTTAAATTATGTAGACATAATATAAACTGTTTATTTGCCTTTGCCTTCTTTTTGTCCCTAAACAACACCAAAAAAACAAAAGACTACAAATTACCACAATGATCCGGTCACCATGATTTTATTTTATTCATACTTTCATTTTATTTACAACAATATTTTATAGTTGAATAGTTTTTTTTTTCAGAACAATGTTGTAACAGAAAGTCAGCACTAAAACAATCAAGAAAATTGAAATGAATTCTCAAATAAGAAAATTTCAAGTGGGGTAATAATACCGACTATGCAATGTGTTCAATGAAATCCTAAATAAGATACAAAAACTGATACATCATACAATAAAATGGTTGAAATATATAAAAAAAATCCAAAAAAACATTAAATGATTGTAAAACATTTGCATAACCAAGTTCAAATAAGCATTAAAATGACGTTTAACAAAGATGCAGTTGAAGATGGCGGCTACCTTATAATCATCTTCATAAAGATATCACCATCAATCTGCAAACATAGCAGACTAAGTACATCCAAACTGATAGGCCATAAGGTAGAATTTATAAGATGAAACTTATAAGGCAATGGATAGTTTTTCCCTTGAATTGTTTGGACTTATTAGGAATAGAATGTTGTTGTTTTGGGTGAAGACAAAAAATATTTTGTAATTTTAGGGGAAAAATAGAAGTAATTAACTACATTACTTTGAAAACACAAGTATGGTCTTGTTCTAGGTTAAAAATACAAATATGTTATT